ACTGTCATCAAAAGGTGCGACAGGCCACGTTCCGGGCAGTCCGGCACATTGATCAAACCGAACAGTGTACAACGTTCCGAAAATACAGATTATTTTCAAAATATTGAAACCATAGTGATCTATAGCTTATGTGAGTCTATGGTGTTACTGTCTCTATACTAATTGAATTGAGTCATTCTTTTCCTACGGTTTATCAACCCTTTAAGGTTATTTAAAGCCAGAAAATATTTTTAGATTGTAAGAATTTTTTTTCTTTTAGGTAATGATTTAGTGATACAAGTCTAACTAATTAACCCGTAGCTGTGGGGAGAAGAAGTAGATCTATATCCAATCAGAATTTGATAAACAAACGAGAAATTAAAATGTGGGTATAAAGTGGGTGATCAATTCTATATTACAATAATATATAAAATGATCCCTCACTTTGTAGCAACGAATGTTTCTATGCATTTATACTCAGAGAATGTAAATAAATCTAAAAGTCATGCTTATGTACCTAATCAGTATTTGATGGATTTATTCTTTTCCGACATTTTATCAACCCTTTGAGGTTATTTAAAGCCAGAAAATATTTTAGATTGTAAGAATTTAATTTTACAGATAATAATGTTTCAGTATCTGTCTATATTTCTGAGATGAGATATTATGTACACTATTTACAATGTTCGAACTTTCATACCCATCTTTGTTGCCATATTTATCAAATAAGGGTTTCGTGATACAATTCTTACTAATTAACCCATAGCTGGAGGGAGAAGAGATGGATTCATACCCAATCAGAATTTGATAAACAAACAATAAATTATAATGTGGATATAAAGTGGAGGATCAATGCTATATTACAATTAGTATATAAATGATCCCTCACTTTGTGGCCACGATTGTTTCTATGCATTTATTCTCCGGAGAATGTAAATAAATCTAAAATACATGCCTGTGTGGCTAATCAGTATTTGATTGATTGATTCGGTTTTATTCGGTTTATCAACCAATTGCTGGTTATTTAAAGACAGAAAATATTTTTAGATTGCAAGAATTTTATTTTGGAGGTAATAATAGTTTAGTGATACAAGTTTTACTAAATAACCCATAGCTTTGGGGAGAAGAGATGGATTCATATCCAATCAGAATTTGATAAACAAACAAGAAATTATAATGTGGGTATAAAGTGGGAGATCAATGCTATTGTTGCGGACCCGGTAGGGTGCAGTGCTGGATTATTACTAAGTGGCCTTGTGCCAGACACCACACTAAACTACCGAGTCTACAAGCAAAGTAAAAAGATAAATATGCGTGAATGAACAATGAGGAAAGGGGTCAATCAACAAGTGCATAATTTAAATGGTATTAAGATAGCCGAAATAAAAATGACAAAGACATCTGTTTATAAAACATGAGTAAACAAAACTTTAATTAAACAGTAACGAGTAACTCATCCCAAGATAGGGATCAATGAAAAGTGTTCCGCGCCAAAATAGAAATACAAGATGGCCAAAGGCGGGAAAAGAAAGTCTTATACAGTTCCGGAAAAGAATGTGCGCACAGATAGAAAGGAGTACTCACTGTGGATATTTTAAGTTGTAAGTGATTATGCATATTTTTAATGTACAGGTTCAGAGTTATAAAGAATGTTCGGTAAACATTGAATTGACCGCTGGTAAATGTTCTGGACTGCTGTGGGGCATCTAGCCGGGAAAAACGAAGCATGGTCTTGTAGAATGGTTCACGGCGAGCCCAAAGAGAAAGACGAAAAATGTTTTTTGTTCACAGGTAATACTATCCCTGCCTGTATTATTTGGTTCGAAGCCAGGGGTAAGTTTAAGTCACCTGTTGAACACGAAGTTTCTGCCGACGACAGTGTCGTGTGTCTCAAAAACGTCTTCTGGTAGAAAACGGAGAAAAAAGGTCCTGACCTGTGATTAGCAATTTGTTCGTTCAGTAGGACATCCCTGCCTATACTTATTAGGCCCCTGACGAGGGATAAAAATACGCCATTAGTTGAATACGAACTTTTCCTCGCGACAGTGTCGCGTATCTCTAAAACATCTTCTAGGAGAAAACGGAGAAAAAGGTCCGACCTGTTGGCAGCTTCAAAAGGAGAAAAAGTCTTGGTAGAGGGTGCAGTCGACATTGTTGAAAAAATAAGATATTCCGGCCCGCGTATGGGTTAAGTGCACGGAATAAATGAGTTGCCCATCCAGTCCGGTTGAAAGCTAAGAGGCAAACTGGATTGCAAACGTTAGCAGTTTTGAAACGCCGAAAAACGCGCGGGAAAAATTCAAAATCTATCATGAGTTAATCAGTAGCAGCTAAAAGGAGCTTACTGCTATGTTTAGCTGTGAGTGAAAGGTAGGGGTGTAAACACGCGCGCACACACGCACGAGTGTAAAACAAAGGGAGGAAACTCGCGCGCGCGTAAAATTATAAATGGAATTAATGTTAATTCCATACTATATTAAAATCAGTTTTTAAAATGATCCGTCATTTGGAGCCACAATTCTTTCTATGAATTTTTGTTCCACACAATGTAAATAAATCTAAAAGACATGCCTGTGTAGCTAATTTGATTGATTGATTCGTTTTTTACAGTTTATCAACCCTTTACAGGTTATTTAAAGCTTGAAAATATTTTAGATTGTAAGTGATTTTGGTGCTACAAGTATTACTAACTAACCCATAGGTGGGGGTCACTAGCTGCATATACTTCCCAAGAGCATTTGCGCGTGAATGTAATGAACCTAGTTAGAATTGAAACACGACTCTCTGATTAAGAATTCTGAGCCATTATTCATTACACCACCCGCACACCATGAATCCGCAATGTTCACGTCAATCTATGTTTTCAGCTTTTTATCGACCACTAGCAACATGGCCCGGTGTTGCCCGTGCTTGATTCTAAAATTGTACGACTCATACAGCAATCGCTATCACTTGACTTAAAATATTTTTGCCCTTCCTTGCCTTTAAAGGAGTGCCCTTTGCCGTGCTGATGTTGCTACATGCCTTACTTTCCCATCTCACACTGCGAATTTTTTCTAAGCTCTATACTAAACATTAAATCTTTTACGAAAAAAGAACTAAACAAAATGAACACAAAACGATCAGCTTTAAAAAAGGACTCATAACTGGAAAAATCGAATGAAAAAAGAATGTTAACAACAAATACATTTTCACACCCAAACCCAGTTCTGCGGAATCAGAATCAACGTTGAGTTTAAGCAAGCGAATGAGCCAATTGGAGTAAAGTGCAATGAAGATTTAAATTTTTCCCACTTGTGACGAATGCAGCTATCGATTTTTTTTGCATGCTAGTTAACATTCGTGTCAGTCAGCTGTTGGCTCTCACGTTGGCCAATATAATCTTCCTGCCTATCCGGGACAGCCAGCTATTGGCTCTCACTCTGGTCAGTAGAAAATGGCTGCAAACTACATGAAAACTACCGTAGAAGCATGAAAAAATCGATTATTTCCACTATCGATGGTAGTTGGGAAATGCAAAGTCGGTCTTGGCCTTTCCACTAACTTGTAGCATGTGCAAGTAAATTTTGATGTAAATTCATCGAAAATTGCGGCCGTGCATTTGTTACACACACACACACATATCCTGCCTTTTACTGATAAAGATTATTTCCACATAAATGTTAAGGTAAAAAACAGATATAAAAATCCTAATGTACGCAGCGCAGAAATATATATTCATTGTTAGCATAAATATTCGTTCTTTTGCATAGAGCACTATTTCAGTATTACAACCAGCACTAACTGTCCATTTTGTTATATATATATATATATATATATATATATATGGTGACCCAGAAAAACGGGAACTTTTTAACAATCCAATAAAACCAAGAGTCATAGAAGAAAAATATTTTATTCACAGTATTTGAAACCTTAAGACATGCCATTTAAGAAACAATGATGGAATTTTCATTTTTTACAAAATTACGTCCTGTAGATGGCGTCCTCCTGTACGAATGCATTCTCAAAATCTGCTGTTGAGATTCCTCATTGACATCTCAGCTGGGATACTGTGAATTTCATCTTGAATTCTAAATGGCGAAATGTTTACTTGCTCAATGTCAATGTCTCGCAGTGTTGCCACTTGCTCATGTCTGGCAATACGCACTTCAAAAATTCCCGTTTGTTTGGGTCACCCTGTATATATATATATATATATATATATATATATAGACAAAATTCAACCTCCCATCACTGACACGAGCCCGGATGTTATTGTCGATGGCGAATATATGTCAAAGGCAAACGTAAAAAAAAGAACACTTCAACACACTTCTGAATAGCTTACAGCTCTATCAATTTGAAATACCGGTTCCCGTACGATCACCAGGGTGAAGCAACGTCGATCCTGGCCAGTAACTAGATGGATGAGTACTTTACTGTAACCTTGGATGTGCAGCTGATATAATGGGTGTTGTTCATGATGACGGTCGTCTTTGAGTTTAGAATCCAGAGGTTAGCAGTGAATATTTCGAAGACAGTAGGGAAGCGTAGTTCAAGTTAGCAGTGGATATCCCGGTAAAGTAGCAGACAAGTTGCCCCTGGACATTCGGAGAGAGTAAACAAAATGGCCGCCTTTATACACAACGGATTGAATGTTCTACGTCTTCTGATTGGTTAACCCTTCTCTTGGTGGACTATAAAATGAGTCAAGTCATTTTGACTGGCTCACTATCCAAAAAACTGCAAGAATGGGCTTACGTTCATAACAAGTTGAAACATCGGCTCCCGTACAATCATCTGAGTTAAGCAACGTCGATCCTGGTCAGTAACTTGATGAGCGACTACTTGGGAATACCAGGTGCTGTAAGCTTGGATATGCAGCTGATAGAATGCGTTTTCGGTCATATCACGTTCAAACATAGGTTCCCGTACAATCACCTGAGTTAAGCAACGGCAGTCTTATTCAGCAACTTGATGAGTGATTACTTTGGAACCACAGGTGGTGTAAGTTTGGGCTTACAGCTGATATAATGGGCTTACGGTCATATCACGTGTAAACATCGGTTCCCATACAATCACCTGAGTTAAGCAACGTCGATCCTGGTCAGTACCTAGATGAGTGACCGCTTGAGAATACCAGGTGCTCTAAGCTGGGATGTGCGAATGATTTAATGCGCTTACGGCCATATCACGTTGAAACATCGGTTCCCGTACAATCGCCGAAGTTAAGCAACATCAAGCCTGGTCAGTAACTAGACTGGGGACCGTTTGGGAATACCAGCTGCTGTCCAAATTTCGGTTGTGTTCATTATATTTACTTACGCGTAAATGTTTGTGGGAAATGTTTGAAGTCACCTCCTCTCACCCCATCACCTGTTGTAGGTTAATTAGTAAATCTTATTTTACCAAACCAATATTATCCCCAAAAAAGTCTAACAATCTAAAAATGTTTTCTAGGTTTGAATAACCTGCAAAGTGTTGAAGGGTCATAGGAAAGGAATCAATCAAAACAAATCAAACACTTCTAGATGCCAAAAAGCCGTCTTCAGCTCCAAAATGTCTGGGATCTTTAAATTGATGGCTGCTGAATATTTTCCAATTCCATTTACTTGACCATAAGTATAAAGAGGAAGGGAAGAAGAAGAAGGGGAAAAATAGTAGAAGTAGCAGAAGAAGAAGAAGAAGAAGAAGAAGAAGAACTACTACTACTAGAAGTAGTAACAGAAGAAGGAGGAGGAAGAAGAAAAAGACGGAGAAGTAGAAAAAAGAGGAAGAAAAAGAAGACGTAGTATTAGAAGAAGAAGAAGAAGAAGACGGACAATAAGAAGGATGAGAAAAAGTAGTAGTAGTAGTAGTACTATTAAAAGAAGAAGAAGACGGAGAAGAGAAGAAGAAGAAAAAAAGAAGACGACGTAGAAGAAGAAGAAGACGGACAAGTAAGAGTAAAATTAGTAGTAGTAGTTGTAGTAGTAGAAGAAGAAGAAGACGTAGTATAAGAAGATTGAGAGGAAGGAGGGGGAAAATAGTAGTAGTGCTAGGATGAAGGATGAGGATGAATATGAAGACGGAGAAAAAGAAAAAAAGAAGACGTAGAAGAAGAAGAAGAAGAAGAAGAAGAAGACGGACAAGAAGTAGTAGTAAAAGTAGTAGTAGTAGTAGTAGAAGAAGAAGAAGAAGAAGAAGAAGAAGAAGAAGGAGGAGGAGGAAAAAAGTAGTAGTAGTGCGAGTAGAGGATGAAGGTGAAGAAGAATAATAAAAGGAGGAAAAGAAAAAGAAGACGTAGAAGAAGAGGAAGAAGCAGAAAAAACAGAAGGAAAAGAAATAGTGGAAGAGGAATGATTATCGAAAACGGTCAGCATTCGCAATGACCACGCCCTTGATGCCAAATAAACCAGATATGAACGTCGTAAAAAAAAAAAAAAAAAAAAAAAAACCCTCGGCGAGTCGGCTGTTCTTGATGTCCATAATATCAAATTCACAACAATGGAAAAGCTTAAAATTTACATCGACCTCGGGATTAAGGTTGCCAGAATATGGTATCTATTTTCCCTGATGTCGCTAGTGAACTGGGGCCGATGGCATCAAACTTAAAATCCTTCAGAATCTGTGTTGTTTAGCAGTGTAAATATTCTGTGCAAGTTGCTATGCGTCTCGGATCGTGTGAGTTAATACCGATCACACATATTGCAAGATCTCTGATGAAAAACGAAAAACATTGTGGAAGCTGGCATAGTCTGGATAACAGACATAGAAAGGAAATTACAAAGTCTCCAAAAGAAGATAATTCAAGGAAAGCAAGAAGACGGAGTAATTGATTGTAAGCAAAAGGTACAGCCCGACATGCAATTTACAATGAGTAAGTACCAGAATACATCAAGTACAAATGTGGCGCTGGTATTTTTAATATAAAATATATCTTAGACGTTCATAGCGTTTTGTTTTGTTTGGGGGTTCTCTATCTGCCCATAGCCGGGACCCTAACAGATGCTACCACTCCGATCCAGATGGACTTGGGAGCAATAGCAATTAAGAAGTGGTTCTACGCTTCTCAAAATCTCCAACCTTCCAATCAGAGGCCTTCCTGTCGGATGAGTTTTATCGTAATAACCAGGAATATTTTTGTCAAGACTATAACTGCTAAAACGATTTCTGCAATATCGTTCAGATGTTCACTTTAACAAGATATCAGCTGACAACTGAGATCGCTACACCTGGGAAGTGTATTAACAGAGAACGGAATGTGTGACCCTGAAATGCTAGAGCACATTGTGATAGAGAAAGATGTCTTCCAAAACCAAGCAAAGTATTAAGAAACAAGAAAATTTCGTTGCAAACAAAGGGAAGAGTACTAGACTGTTATGTAATATCAGTCTTCCTATACGGTAGTGATAAATTGGCATTTACAGATGAAGAATCGACTTGAGGCAAGATAAATCTGGTTCTACAGAAGGATGCTGAGAATAACATTTTAAAAAATGCGAGGCGGAACGAAGTTTAGGAGAGCTAACAAAAAAAAAAAAAAAAAGACAAAATGATCTGCTTTCGCTGGTTCCCAGACTTCATGAAATTAAGCGTTCAACTAGGCGGGCATCTCGCTCTCACCCTTTCACTATTGAAACTGTTAAATGTAGCCGTCTCTTTTACTCCAATAGCTTCATGTTTCGCACTTCTCGCCTGTGGAACACCCTCCTCATTTCTTCTTTTCCTGTCCAACTATTCAAATGTAATGTCAATCGACGTCTCCAGATGCCCTGATCTATCCCCTATCCTTCTCTTCATCCTTTCCTCTATAACTCCTCTTTGCTCTCGTTCCAACTCTCTGTAACCCTTTGCGTGCTAATGGCTTCCCGCGTGAACGCTTTCAAGGGGAACCAAACAGGTGAAAGTCTGACGAGGCAAGGTCTGGGCTGTAAGGGGGATGAGGGAGCAGTTCCCAGCTCAGCTCGTTGATGGTCTTCACCATTTGAGCTGCTGTGTGAGGCCTTGCATTGTCATGATGCAAGATGACTCCCTCTGACTGATGACCCCTGCGTTTGTTCTTTATGTCTTTCTTGACCTGCCTCAGCAGTTCACAGAAGTTCTTCTGTCAGACTGAATGAGGTCATTGACTGATTCGATCACCTCAGGAGACCTCACTTCTGTAGGCCTCCCAGGCCTGTCTTCATCCTCAACACTGCTCCGTCCTTCTTTAAACAATTTATCCCGCTTGTAGACATTTTTTTTTTTTGGCTGAAACTTGTGGTACCATACAAAGTTGACATTCTCCTATGAATTTCAACTGGTTTGCACCCTTCAGCAACCAAAAACTTGATAACTGAACGTTGTTCAATCCTGGAGCATGCTTCTTGGTCGGCCATCTTTGTTAATCGCCAAAACACTCAAAGTTTATTTTTAATCTGCAAAGAAATTAAATCCATGGGAAAATGAAGTAAAAAAAAAGATTTAAAAAGTAAGCTTCTATCTGTATTAGAAGTCCTTATACAGAAAAATTCACCTTATTTATAGAATGACCCTCGTATATATATATATATATATATATATATATATATATATATATATATATATATATTTGCTACCTGAACAATAATATTACTGAATAATTTTTTAAACATTAAAGTATATTTAACACACACACACACACACACACACACACACACACACACACACATATATATATATATATATATATATATATATATATATATATATATATATATATTCAGTTTTCTATAAATTTTACAACTTTTCTCATCTTTGTCTTTTTTTTCCCCTCCTTAGTCAGAGGTTATATATATCTTTACCTTTTTTTGCCTTTCATACTAATACAAATATAAAATTTTGTCAGTTCAATGATTGATGTTACATTCGGTACCCTAATTCCGGAGATTCTTTGGCGAAACTTTTTGCAATCGCTCGGTCCGCTCGTTAGGAGATATCAGCAATTATTTTTATACTAAGTTAAAAACAATAATTTATGCACTTTTTTTTAATTGTAAACGCGTTTGTATGTGTTTATGTGTAGAATGTTTTGACTATTTCAGCCTTTCCCCCTTTCTTCAGCTCTCTCTCTCTCTCTGTCTATCTCAATCTCTCTCTCTATCTCTATCTCAATCTCTCTCTCTCTCTTTCTATATATATATATATATATATATATATATATATATATAATATGAAATGGAAAATGTCCGACAATTATTTTAAGACAATTTTTTTTATGTTTATACATTCTTTTTATAGATACAAATATTTAAGTAAATACTCAGTTTATAATAAATACTATTATTTACCGGTTCGATTCTTGTCGTAGGACGAATATTTTCTATGAAAGTTTCTCGCACATTCAGGCCGGTAAAGCCTGTTTAATACTGTTTATTATAAAACAGAGCATTTACTTAAATATATGTATGTATAAACACACACACACACACACGCACACAAACACACACACACATATATATATATATATATATATATATATATATATATATATATGTAGATTTTTCCAACCTGTTTATTCATACCTTCTTTTAGAAAGCGTAACTAAAACGCATACAAAAGAGTTCTGAGATACAGACAGGAACTACACTCTGATCCCACACTAGAAATGCGCAACATTGAAATGTGCAAACAGGCATATTGGTATATTTATCTATTTTTATATACATCGAACTATTTTCATATCTAGATCTATAGACAGTTGGCATTCAACATCTCGATTTGAATGATGGATACTAAATTCGCGCGTGCATACACCCTCGCCTCGATCTCACTGGCAAACCTATGCGCTTTTGATTAAAAGCAACCGACAAGGATATTTTAGAAGGTCTTTCTTTTTTTTTTTTTATTCACCATTTTCTCTTTCTGTACGAATCGATGTCGCCTTTCATTTAATTTCTCTAAAAACAGCCCAAGAGTAATTGAACGCGTGTTTTCGGCTATTCTTTTGACTATTTTCACAAGATCCAAGACCTTAATGAATGATGGATAACAAAAATTGAGACGATAGATGGTTCTTTTTTTTAATATCCTATCTTCAATATATATATATATATATATATATATATATATATATATATATATATATATATATGAATATATCAATGAATTTCAATCATTCTATTCATATCTATCTGTCTATTCATATATCTGTCTATCTATCTCTCATTCTATTTATATCTATCTATCTATCTATCTATTCATATGTCTCATTCAATCTAACTTCAACCCCCCCACACACATATATATATACATACATACATATATATATATATATATATATATATATATATATAAAGAGTAATAGGAAGAGATCATGGGAAGAGATGAAAACAATAGAGACGTAATGCAGAAAGGTGGCCGTTAATGAAGTTATAGCCTGATCAGAATTCATCAATCAGTTGTTAAATTCCTTGTAAATCCGCAGAACCTTGGTTGAAGAAAATCGTATTGATACCCGGTCTTCTTGATTTTAATTATTAGGCCTTCAGGTATTCAAAAAAAGTTCTTTGAGAGTTAGCACGGTATACACGCGTGATCAGCAAATGTTTGTCACCTGAAAATGAGAGAAGTGTAGATTCGTATCTTGTGTAGCGATCTCAGTTGTCAGCTGATATCTTGGTAAAGTAAACATCTGAACGATATTACAGGAATCGTTTTAACAGTTATCGTCGTGACAAAGAATATTCCTGGTTATCACGATAAAATACATCCGTATCTGTAGAGATGAGGTATTATGTACATTATTTACATTATTCGGACTATTGTCCTCATATTTCTCGCCATATTTATTACAAAGTTTCGGCCTTTCAGTATCTGTCTATATTTCTGAGATGAGGTATTATGTACACTATTTACATTATTTGGACTATTCTCCTCATATTTGTCGTCATATTTAATACAACGTTTCGGCCGTTGTCCGCTCCGGCATTCTTCAGGTAGTTGGAATGTCGAAGTGAACCTTTATACCATTTTATTGTTGTTATCGATGCATGTTTTTCCCAGAGCTCATATTACAATTTGTGTTGTTATCATCGCTTGTCTTTGACACTACTTATTACCGGTTCCCATATTGTCTTCATTTCTATGCTTGGTCGGCTCAGGAGTTTTTTGGTAAAAAATGGTTGCTGAAGACATTAGTTTTATCATAATCAGAAATTCATACACAGATGATCTCAAGGACACATGGCATAGTGGATAAAGGCGTTAGTTACATCCAGTGACTCGACCTAAAGAGTGTGAGTTCAATACCCAGTTAAGGCAGTGGAGAAATTTCAGAGGGGAATTAACAGTAGACAACTGATAACTGACACCCATTAAACATGGCACGTGGAATTAGAACAGTCTATCTCAGTGAGCGAAATAAAGGGTTCAGTTCGACATTCCAACCACTTGAAGGTTGGAGGTTTGAGAAGCGTGGAACCGCTACTTAATTGCTGTTGTTCCCAGAGCCATCTGGAACCGGGGTGGTAGCATCTGTTAAGCGTCCCGGCTTTGGGCAAATAGTGAATACCTAAACAAACAGTGATAATTTTTAGATAAAAGTTACTAACACTACCTATTTATAGTAAAATTACCAACAATACATATTTAAAGCAAAATGACCAATACATTTTGCAGTCGAATGATCCACAATACATTTCATCCGTAGTTGAAGGCCTAAAAATGCGGTCAAAATATTTAGAATCGGTACTAAACAACCCATAGAGGTTGAGAAAGTCGCTAAACAAAATCTAACCAAACTATGTTGATAAAGAAGGTCAGATCATGTGAAAGGGACTTTCATATCAAGAAGGAATCATATCAAACGACCCTGACAAAGTAGGTCTACTGAGTGGAGCGGACATTGATGAATGCATTTCCTTTTAGACGAGAGTTGATAGGACAAAGAACGCTTGCAGTGGCGTCTGGTAGCAGAAAACTGAAACCACTCGTCCACTGCGACAAAAAGAAGGTACTCGCTGGTTAGACCGTTCGCCTCTCACCTAGCGCCAATATGACCCTTTCGTTTACAGTCGACCCTCACAAGAAGGTTGCAACAGGATAAAATTTGCCGACTGCTACAATTTCGTTTCATGGTTTTAATTCGTGGTTAACGATCTGGTCAAAGAGACTTATTTTCCATGTACAGTGTAACCCGGATATAAGGGACCCTGATATAAGAGAAACCCGGATATAAGAGAGATTTTCTCTGGTCCCAAATTAGAGCCTGTGTTAATGTATACAAAATAGACCAAACCCGGATATAAGAGAAACCCGGATATAAGAGACTTCTTCTTCGGTCCCGACAACTCTCTTATATCCGGGTTACACTGTATTAAGCTACAACCGCCCAACTGCAAGGTGGATTCATGAGAATGAACGTAGTGTCTGGTTTGGGCTGCAATGCTACACATATCATTAAAGGGGTAAAGAATTGTTAATGACATTTTCAATCAATTTAAAGATCCTAATATAATTTGGAATATTTCTGTTGTGTCGGAAACCTACCACCCCTCTTGAAGATGAACTTGTCTGCGTCTGTGAACAAAGACTTTAAATAGTGGCATGTCAGTTGACATAGAGAAGATAGATAGGCATCCGAGTCTATCTGAGTCGTAATACAGTCTTTGACTGTAAGCGACGTCTGTCGAACTCTCTGCGAAGGTCAAGTTTTCGTCCGGGGAGTTGCACAGGGCCTGAACCCGTCTAGGCGGGTTCAAAGACTATATTTTTGGCCGAGCCTATGGGCTCGGTGATACCCACATTAAACCGGCCTTGTGCCATATTCAATCCTCGTGGGTGAATCGATAAATACCAAGACAGATAGACAGAGAGGGTAAGACCTCCGAGTCTAGCTGAGTCGTGATACAGTCTTTGACTGTATGCGACGTCTGTCGAACTCTCTGCGTTAGCAGAGAGGAACCCGGACGAAGCTTTGCGGAAAGGCAAGGTTTCGTCCGGGGAGGTAGACAGGGCCTGAACCCGTCTAGGCGGGTTCAAAGGCTATATTTTTGGCCGAGCCTACGGGCTCGGAGATACCCACCTTAAACCGGCCTTGTGCCATATTTAATCCTCGTGGGTGGATCGATAAATACTAAGACAGATAGACAGAGAATTTCTTAGCTGAGCTAGTTATTGACTACTCAGGCGATTTCTGTACCTTTTTACCAACCTATTAAAACCCTTTTTATTGTTACGTGTTATTTGGCGTTTGTCTCTACTAACCCCAAATCAACATCATAACAATTTCATAGTTTGTTTTTAAGTTATATTTTTCAGTAATAGATAAAACTCATTAAAAAATAAAACCATTTATACTACGCGTGGTACTCTTGCGTACCATTACCAGTGCTGTCTGGAATAGTCAGAAATTTTTAATTTATAAAATAATCCAGATTAAAAGTCCGAGGTGGAGATTTTAAATCATGGTTATATTAATAAAATAATACCTATTTTGGAGGATATTTTTTCTATGTTGGGACCGCTGGAGTCTTGATAAAATCCAAAATTATCCGGTATAAACATTTTTCCTTTTCTTTTATACATACATCTGTTATTCTTCGATCGAGTTCTGCCAATTGAGGAGCGACATCCGGGTAAGCGATCAATTGTTTTTTGGCGTGTTTCGCATTAAATATCCCCTCTTTTCCATCCGTTCACGCAAGCAAATCAGGTTGGCTTCCGACATCCTCTTCTCCTGTTCCTTCTACCTTCGACATATCCTTTGAGTGTCGCGTTCTCCGAGCCTTCCTTCATTATGATATGTGTTAAAGACATTTTGACGGTCTGGTTGTCAGTATAAATATCTTTTCTCTCTAATTTCATTGAGACGTCTTTGTTCCTTACAGGGAGGTAATTAAGACAGTGAAGAGCCCAAAAAACGAAAACCAAAAAAAATAAAAATCAAGACATGATGGAAAACGCTGGAAAAGACTAACTCGTTTATCCCTTTGATCTTTTGAAGTGGGTGAAGCTTTATTTAACACTAGGATAGTCTATTGTTAATTTGAAATCTATAGGATGTCTGGATTTCATGCAGGATCCTGAAATCATCGGTAGGACTGAAGGTTCACTTTTAGGATTGAACAACTTGGAAACAATATCTTCAAACTTATTCACTTCTCATCGGTTTTACATACCTTCTCTAATCTGAGATAGTTCCTCAAACCTTAAGCGCCATATTGAATTGACGGAAAATGAATATTTCAAAGACTCTCTTTACTCATGTTGTCCACCTTTCTTCTTTGTCCCGAAGAGAATCTAAGATATCGGTGTAAGCCACAGAATTCATTTCCATACGTCTTGATTTCGTTTTGTTTTCTTATTAAAAGACTAATTTTTTTTAATTCTTTATTGTTCCGTTCAAGGGTTATGGTTCAAGAAATTGATCTGGAAAAAAAAAAAAAAGAAAAAAGAAAAAGAAACATGGAGAGAAAGCAGAAGAAAAACAGGAATAATTATTGGTTGAAAATATTTTTCATATTACAAAATAATTAGATTAAATATGCTGATTTATTTCGGAAAAAAATGGCTTATTTAAAATTTGCCTCTTATTGAAACAATCAGATTACCAAAATGAATTCCGAGATGAAAAAGGAAGTGAGTAGTTTTTTCTTTTTCGTTTTTGTTGCTGTCACAAATTCAATTTTTTTCTTTCTTTCTATTTCTTTTTTCTTTTCTTTCTTTCTTTCTTTATTCTACGTAGTTTTTATTTTTATTTTTTCTTTACCTCTTTTTTTTCGGTCTTTTTATCTTTCCATCGCTGTATTTTTTAATTTCTTTCTTTCTCCTTCTTTTTTCTTTTCTTTCTTTATTTTTTGTACTCATTTTTATTTTCTTTCATCCTTTCTTTTTTTCGTTCTTTCTTTCTTTCTCTTTCTTTTTTCTTTTCGATCTTTCTTTATTTTTTCTACGTATTTTTCATTTCTTTCTTTCTTTCTTTCTTTCTATGCATTTTTCTTTCTTTCTTTATATTTCTTTTCTCTCTTTATTTTTCTACGTATTTTTCATTCTCTTTTGTTCTTTCCTTCTTTCTTTTCCGTTCGTTCTTTTTCTTTCTTTCTTTCCATCTATGTATTTTTCTTTCTTTCTTTCACTTTTTCTTTTCTTTCTTTCTTTCTTTTTTCTAAATATTATTTTATTTTCTTTGTTTCTTTATTCATTTTATTTACGTTTTTACCAACTATGTATTTTCTTTCTTTCTTTTCATTTTCATTCTTTTTAATTCTCTTTACCTATTTTTAATTTCCTTTCTCTAATTCTTTTTTATTGTTTCTATCTAATTTACTTTTCTTACTTAATTTAATTCAATTTTTCTTTCTTTTCTTTCTTTCTTTCTTTCTTTCTTTCTTTCTTTCTTTCTTTTGATTTTTTGTTTTCTTTCTTTCTACGTATAGCTTCTTTCTTTCTTTTCTTTCTTTCTTCATATATTCACGTTTCTTCCTTTTTTCAAAGTTTTTCTTTCTTTCTTTCTTTTAAATCTATGTCCCCCAACAGTCTTTTCTTTCTTTCTTTCTTTCTTTCTTTCTTTCTTTCTTTCTTTCTTTCTTTGCTCCAATTTTGCGTATTCTTTTTTCTAATTTTTTCCCTTCATAATGTTTCATCTCCCTCTTTCTTTCTTTCTATATAATTTCCCTCTCTTTCTTTCTTTCTTTCTTTCTTTCTTTCTTTCTTTCTTTTTCTTTCTTTCTTTCTTTCTTTCTATCCCTTTATTTTTTTATTCTTTCTTTCTTTCTTCCAACCTATATTTTGTTTTCATACTTAATTTATTTCCATCTTTCATTTTTCTTACTTTCTTTCCTTCTTCCTTTCCGTCTATGTATTTTTCCTTTTGTTTTCATTCAACATATTACGTCTTTTCTTTCTTTCTTCGTCTATTTTCCCCGCTTTCTCTCTTTTCATGGAATCAGTGTTAATATCATTTTCCTCTCCATTAAAAAGAACAGTGACTCTCACTGAATAAGTATAAAAAGAACGTTCTTATTTTGAGCATGAAGCGACCTTACAGAAGTAAATATTCCAATATTAATGTCGAGCATAATGAATGACCTTCTTTCCGAGAAACTCAATTCGCTTAAGTTTTTTACTATCTATCTATCTATCTATCTATCTATCTATCTATCTATCTATCTCAGTGACCAATCTATCTATCTATCTATCTATCTATCTATCTATCTATCTATCTATCTATCTATCTATCTCAGTGACCAATCTATCTATCTATCTATCTATCTATCTATCTATCTATCTGTTGAAATTTGACTAATGCATGGAATAATAATGCAACACAAAATGTACTTAGAACAAAATGTATTGAAACGAGTAAGTGTAAACAATATTTACATATAGTCTTTTGTATATTCCTGGTAAGACCGTTCCTGGAGAATGTGTTGACTGAGTCGCAGTCGGGCAGAGTCTCTGGTTGAATCTCTTGATTCCTCCCTCTCTTCCCGGTACCAACCATATTTATATGCTCGGTACTCCACTATGCAAATTAGGTGGATCCTACCACAACACTATCTCAGTGATCTATCTATCTATCTATCTATCTATCTATCTATCTATCTATCTATCTATCTATCTATCTATCTCAATGTGCTATCTCAGTGACCAATCTATCTATCTCAGTGAGCTATCTCAGTGACTAATCTATCTATCTATCTATCTATCTATCTATCTTAACTGATTTTTGATTCCATATTCAAGAAAAATGACTGCGTTCATTCAGGTTTGTAATGTAAATTGTTGTATTCACATGGACTCATTACGAGGTGAGATACAAAACGGAACCTATCGTGATACTGAAAATAAGTCATCGAAAAGATACGCAGCATTTTAATTCTGGAAGAAAAAGTCAAATTGCACAAAATAAATTTAGGCACATTAAATGCCATAATCAGTCGTTTGGATCCTATTTGCACGAACTGCAGCGTTAACCCGACGGAAGATGGAAGAATACCACGTGAAAATTGTTTCTTCAGGAGTCTTGACAGTAAAGCCGAAACCTGGTAAGTTCTTTGGCTTTCTATTAGATACGTAAATTCTTTGAAATCATTTCTCTACAGGCATGGCAATAAAGCCATTGAGACGCAATATGATAGTGAGCGTTAGATGAGAAAAAGAAGACATTATTAAGGAGAGAGGACAATAAAAGGACAGGGAGTAAGCAGTCAGAAGAAAACGACTGACATTGCATTTAATTGTTTGAAGATAATTTAATTTTTTGTAGATCAAAATTGACTGAAAAGCAGGAAGCCGTAAAGGTGTCCCACATGTGAGAAGTGCGAGAGAAGAAACTGTTAGCATAGGACTTACGTTTGCATTTAGGAATTTCGAATATAAAGTTTGACTGGAAACCAAGAATCCAGAACTGAGTAAAAAAAAAAAGAAAAAGAAAGAGTTCCACAAGCGAAAAGTGCGAGAGAATAAACGGTAATATTAACATAGGTCTAATGGTCACATCTAGACATTTCAATTGTAAATTGATGAAACCTCAGCCAATCTAGTACTACGCTTAAATTCGTAAAGTCTACATAACAAAGATGTCATGGAAATATCTACAGCAAAGACACTGGTAAGCTACGTAACGGCGGAAAGAAGGCGATTGAATATGAGATGCCAGACCGGGGCCAATAATATTGCACGTTATTCTTTCATCAAAATATATATAGAGAAGCAGTAGCATAGAAGTGGCAGTAATATCCAATTGTCGGCGGAAATCGTTAGCCCGAGAACGGGTCATTAGTCACCTATCTAGGGGTTAACATCAGCCATGCTAATCGAAAGCAAAACAATTTCTTTAAGACGATTAAAGGAGTGAGGTTTCCTTTTGGAGGCCTTAAAAGTAACAAGCCGTTTCTTGCCCCATTTAACAACTGATTGTAGCTCCTTTTTAAGATCAGCTGCCAATACGATCACATTGAACCGATCAGTCTTACCATTATGACATTGATAAAACCTTAAGGATTATAAAAAAGAAAACAGACTCTGGCATAAGTTTGATTATATTAGGGTCAGTATTTTGGCCAGGCCCATCTCGCAACACTGTGATGTCTTTATCAGTGAGAAACTGTTTTATACGCGACGTAAGCCAAGAAAAAACGATTGACATTGCATTTAATTTTTTGAAGATCAAAATTGACTGGAAAGGAAGAAGCTGTAAAAGAATCCCACAAGTGAGAAGTGTGAAAAAAACAATCTTTTACCATAGAACTTACGTCTGCTTGTAGGAATTTCGATATAATGTTTGACTGGAAAGCAAGAAACCGGAAGTGAGTAGTAAAAAAAAAAGAACGAAAGAGTTCCACAAGCAACAAGTGTCAGAGGAGAAAGTGTTAACATAGAACTTACGTTTGCATCTAGGAATTTCGACTATATAAAGTTTGACGAGAAAGCAAGAAACCGGAAGTGAATGGACAAAAAAAAAAAAAAAAAAAGGAAGAAATAGTTCCATTTTTCTGTTGCATTTATTAACACAGCAAATAATATATATTTCGCTGTTTCATCGACTTTTAAAATATTTCTACCAAAATTGATTCTGACGGAGCCCGAAACAACGCCAAATTGTTTTTTGTTTTTTTTATCCTTGTATTTTAAATTGTTTCATGCAGCAATTTCTCTTCAGGTATGCTCTCTGGCATTAGAACCACTTTCTGCTTTTGTCACCATATATCACTTTTACCTATTTTGTTATTATCTCATCATAAATATTCTTCTGTTCAGGGTTTTTTTTTTTTGCCATATTCCATGATTAGTTTTTGGTTAAAGATGGTTCGTACGGTAATTTCATCCAGTTAGATTACTTTTAAATAACATATTTCTTACGGTAAAAAATGATACTTCTGTATTAAAGCTGTTCCCATAACTTGGGGCATGGCTGTTAATTTGGAGTTAAATACTGATGACCCCCCGCCCGCCACTAAATTTGTTTGAAACCTTTTGTCTAATTTCGAAAGTCTTTATCTTGCTATGCAGGCTGTTTCTTCTTCTTCTTCTTCTTCTTTTGTTTCTTCTTTTTCTTATTCTTGTTTTCTTCTTCTTCTTCTTCTTTTCTTCTTTTCATTTTTCTGTTGCTGCTTCTTCTTTTTCTGTTTCTTCTTTTTCTTCTTTTCCTGCTTCTGCTTCTTCTTCTTCTTCTTCTTACCATTCTTTCCCTCTAAATTCTTCTTTTTCTTCTTCCTCCTCTTCCTGTTCTTCTTCTTCTGCCATTTACCATTCTTTCCCTCCCTCTTCTTCTTCTTTTTCTTCTTTTCTGCTTCTTCTTCTTACCATTCTTTCCCTCTAAATTCTTTTCCTTCTTCCTACTCTTCTTCTTCTTCTGCCATTTACCATTCTTTCCCTCCCTATTCTTCTTCTTTTTCTTCTTTTCCTGCTTCTTCTTCTTCTTCTTACCATTCTTTCCCTCTAAATTCTTCTTTTTCTTCTTGCTCCTCTTCCTCTTCTTCTTCTTCTTGTGCCATTTACCGTTCTTTCCCTCCCTATTCTTCCTTCGTTTTCTTCTTTTCCTGCTTCTTCTTCTTCTTCTTCTTACCATTCTTTCCCTCTAAATTCTTTTCCTTCTTCCTCCTCTTCTTCTTCTTCTGCCATTTACCATTCTTTCCCTCACTATTCTTCTTCTTCTTCTTTTTCTTCTTTTCCTGCTTCTTCTTCTTCTTACCATTCTTTCCCTCTAAATTCTTCTTTTTCTTCTTCCTCCTCTTCTTCCTCTTCTTCTTCTTCTGCCATTTACCGTTCTTTCCCTCCCTATTCTTCTTCTTCTTCTTCTTTTCCTTCTCCCTCCTCTTCTTCTTCTTCTGCCATTTACCATTCTTTCCCTCACTATTCTTCTTCTTCTTCTTCTTCTTTTTCTTCTTTTCCTGCTTCTTCTTCTTCTTCTTACCATTCTTTCTCTCTAAATTCTTCTTTTTCTTCTTCCTCCTCTTCTTCTTCCCTCTTCTTCTTCTTCTGCCATTTACCGTTCTTTCCCTCCCTATTCTTCTTCTTCTTCTTCTTTTCCTTCTTCCTCCTCTTCTTCTTCTTCTGCCATTTACCATTCTTTCCCTCACTATTCTTCTTCTTCTTCTTCTTCTTCTTCTTCTTATTCTTTTTCTTCTTTTCCTGCTTCTTCTTCTTCTTACCATTCTTTCCCTCTAAATTCTTCTTTTTCTTCTTCCTCCTCTTCCTCTTCTTCTTCTTCTTCTGCCATTTACCATTCTCTCCCTCCCTATTCCTCTTCTTCTTGTTTTCCTGCTTCTTCTTCTTCTTACCATTCTTTCCCTCTAAATTCTTTTCCTTCTTCCTCCTCTTCTTCTTCTTCTGCCATTTACCATTCTTTCCCTTCCTATTCTTCTTCTTCTTCTTCTTTTTCTTCTTTTCCTGCTTCAGCTTTTTCTTCTTTTCCTGCTTCTTCTTCTTCTTCTTCTTCTTCTTCTAGGTTGCCATGTTAACACGCCTTTATATTCCAAGGCCCTTAGGGATTTGACGTTGTCTCATTCTTTCGCTTAAATTCACTCTTTCTTTAGCGAAACGTAAATCTACGACATTAGAAAGAGAAATGGAAGGAACTAGACTCTATAAGGTTTGTGTTTTAGCATTTAACCTGAGAATTTTTTATTTTTCATGCGTATCTTATCCGGAGGGACGTTAATCCTGAGGGTGTCAAGTGGACGTTCTGGTAGAGTAATGGAATGACAAAACGGGGAGACAAATTCCAATTCCAGTCAAGTTCGTCACATTCAATTGCATGCAAATAACCATGGGAAAGTTACGAATCAGTCTCCTTCCCCTACCTATAGGTTAAATTGTAGGATTTGCATTTGGAAAAATCATTTTTAGTCTCAATAAAATATTAATGCAATATTTCCTCTACAAAAATTATTCTTGCAAAATAATCTAAAGATTTGATAAGCCGAAGAATGAAAATGATGTCACTCCTAACTATTGTATGACTTATTTTCAGTATCGCCTCAAGTACTATGTTTAATGGTATAAGTCAACTTGCATTAACATTCTGAATGACCACAGAGATTACTCCGAGAATAACCATACTAATCCGCTATTAAAATCATCTCTCGCATATATCAAAAGATCCGTTACTATGCCATCTTCAATCGGTTATCATTTTACAAGCCCCTACATTCTTTCGCCTACTGTTAACTAAGGAACCACATCACTATCTATCAAAGATACTGTTGGTTATATTTTTAGTTTTCAAATACACCACGATTATCCTTTTATTTCATAATAAGGCCATATCCCTCATGGCAAAAACATTACAATATTAC